CCCATAACCCCCCAGGCTAACAGGCAAGGGCTTGTTTCAGTAGCGGGTCAGTGCGCCCATAACCCCCCAGGCTAACAGGCCTATAACCCCCCAAGGATCAATCGGGGATCTCACAGTGCAAGTCTTCTGACATCAGCAACCCCAGGACCAGCACCTCCAGAGTCTGCACCCCCAGTGTCACCACCCCCAGCAGCGCCAGAGTCCACAGCGGCAAGCTGCGGAGGCGGCGAAGACGGCCGAGGTGGAAAACCAGGAGGGGTCTCCAAGCGCGGGGAGCGGCGAGTGACCACCGTGTCGTCAGCAGCGGGGTCACCCCCCTCAGCTCGGCCAGAGGAGACCTCCAAAGGCTCAGCCAAGGGGGGTGGGTCGACCTGAGACACACCTGAGGGAGCAATACCCTGTGGGGGGAGGGGGTCTACCAGGGGGGGGACCTGGGACCAGGAAGAGGGGCGGCGGGGGGACTGGAGAAGACGCGTGCGGGTGGAGACGGTAGAAGCAGACCGACTCGTCAAAGGTGACGTCCTGTGAGGATAGGACGCGGCGCGAAGCAGGGTGGTAAAACTGCCAGGGCGGGGCGTCGGTGGGGAAGCCAAGGCAGACGCAGCGGAGAGTGCGAGGAGAGAGCTTGCCCGCGGTGGTATCGCGGACAAGGGAGAGCGCGCCCCAGACCCGAAACGCCGACGCATCGCCAACCTCCCCCGTCCAACGCAGTGTAGGCGAGGTCTCTGGCACAGAGACACGAGCAACGTCCATGACTAAGCCAATGCGGCGCTCAGCAATCCCATTCTGCTGTGGAGAGGCCGGAAGCGTGAACGTCTGGCGGATGCCTTCCGCACGACAAAAGTCCCGAAGGAGGCCGGAGGAAAACTCACCGCCTCTGTCAGAGTGTAGTCGCAGGACCTGAAGGTCCTGCTGAAACTGCGTGCTCAGCTAACGACAAACAATGCGGATCCAGGGGATCAAAACACTCCGGACATCCGCCTTGCTCTGCTAGGGGAAGACAGTGGTGTAGCGCGTATAATCGTCAACAACCAGGAGAAAGTAGCACTCGTGGTGCTGTCCACGGACGCGGGTGGGGCCCCACACGTCCATGTCGAGAGTCTGCAGAGGAGCAGTGGTCGGCGGAAACGAGGAGGAGTGAGGAGCGGCGCGCTGCCGCCCCTCGACGCAGGGAAGGCACGGCGGTGCAAACGAGCGCAAGAGCAGGGGTAGGGACCTGGGGAGGCCAAAGACAAGGAGACAAGAGTGCATGCCACGCAGGCACGGCAGGGAGGGGTGACCAAGACGGTGGTGCTAGAGGAGAGTCTGGTGCGTGAGTAGCAGACACGAACAAGACGCAGCTAACTGACCCGACGTAGCCACCTGACCTGACGCAGCCACCTGTGCAGACTCAGTGGTAAGTGTGTACAGTCCCGACCCAGGTCTTTGTGTGAACGTAGCGAGGTGGCGGCCAGTCCGTGAGCACGTACAGGTTGCCACCCGCTCACCCCCAGGAGTAGTGGTAGTGACCAACTCATCCTGGAGGATAGCGTTACTCACCAAGTTCGTAGAGAACGAAGGGAGGTGGAGACCTGGGAGAGAGGCGGAGGGGACCGCCGGACACGGGAGGACAGTGGAGGCGCGTGCAACGACTGGGCCCCCAGAGGGGTCAGCCAGAGCGACTGGGACATGTGCTGTGAGAGGTGTGACTGTGGTGCAATCGCGGAAGAAGCAGCGAGACGCGCCTGAGTCAAGTGTGAAGGTGTGCAAAGCCTCAGCAGAGGCAGTACCTGCGGCAGCAGACTCACAAGCACCTAGAGAAGCAGCCTCAACACCAGCAGCGCGAGGCACATACGACACCCTCAACACGAGCAGAACCAGCATACTTAGCATAGATTCCAGCATTGATCTTGTCAAAGTCAAGAGCAAACACATCCACCCCCTTTGCTAGCAATCCTAACCGGCTGGGGATCTCCTATCATCTCCGTTCTCGGTGCGCCAGGCATCCCCAAGACGGAAGAAACAACGGTGCTCAGTGTGCCCAATCTTCCCGCAGGGGTCACCTGTCCGGGTACCCATGCGCCTGATGTACGGGCAGCGAACACTACCCCCAGAGGAGCCACGATGGACAACCTACTAGCGAAGCTGCTGAGGGGTGAGTGGCTCCTGCTGGCGTGGCTGCTGCTGTTGTCCACCCCCAGTGCCTCCGCCGCCACGAGCTGCACCCCCAGTCGCTGCCCCATAGCCTCCGCCCCTGCCAGCTCCACCCGGACCGCCACCCGAGCCCCCTCCGCCCACTCCACCGCCTCCACCACCCCCGCCACCTCCACTGCCACCACCACCGCCTCCACCCCCGCCACCACCACCGCCACCACCCCCGCCACCACCCCCGCCAGCGCCACCCCCACCACCCTTACCCCCCTTGCCCTTGCCGCTGCGGCGCCTCCCACTAGGAGCAGACGCAGTACCGACCTCCTCAGGACGAAGGAAGTCAACAGCAGCAGCAGAGGCAACAAAGGGCGCGAGAAGGGAGGGCTAACACCCCTCAAAGAAGGGGGGGCGGGGAGTGCCACGAGAGGCAGATACAGCGACAGTACTGGTCTCGGCCTCGAGGAGATGCTTCTCCAGCAAGGCAAGCGTGAGCTCAGTGGGGTCAAGAGCGAGGAAATGATCCCTAACGGCGTGGAGGGAGTCAGGGAGGCGAGTAACGAGGTAGTATAGAGTGATGTACACCGGGGGCTGGTTTGCAGTCACAAAGGCCGGCTGTAGCGAGCGTCACTAGAGCGAAGGTGGGTCATGAGGTCGGCGACAGTGTGGAAATTCGACAGCTCAGGAAAGAGGTACGGCAGCATGATACGGCCTATGGCAGCAGTAGAGGGGGAGGAGTAGCGAGCGACTACGGCATCATATAGCTCCTTGGCCGTCTTAAGCTGGCCAAAATAGACCCATTCATCTAGCGGGAGGGCATTGCGGACAGAAAGGCGGGCGGCAGCATCGCGCGTGAGCCACTGAGTACGAAGAACACGATCAGCTGACTCCTCAGGGGCAAGGCAAGAACTGGACGTGTGCTCTAACAGTGAGACGTCCTCCCTAGCTTTGCTCTGCAGGTACAGCTGGAGATCCTCGAGCCAGCAGTCAAACCTAATCGGGCGACCCTCCACGTCAAAGGTAAGGACATTAAGGGTAGCCATAGTGGGCAGTAGCAGTGGCAGCAGCAGCAGCAGTAGTAGCAAACAGGTGCGGCCACAAAAGCAGCTCGACTGGGCAGCTAGGCAGGGCGGCTCAGCTGGGCGGTTCGGCAGGGCGGCGCGGCTCGGCTGGGCAGCACGGCTCGGGCAGGGCGGCGCGACTCGGCAGGGTGGCGCGGCTCGGCAGGGCAGTGCGGCGCGGGCAGGGAAGGGCGACTCAGCGCAGGCGGCAGCAGCAGCTTAGCAGTAGCTGCAGCGCGTGCAGGACACGTGCAGGCGGCGCAGGGCCGTGCGAGTAGAGCGCGGGCGACGCGAGTCGTAGGGGCAGCGCGCAGTAGCGCGTGGGCGGCGCCAGCAGCGTGGGGGCAGTGCACGGGCAGGGCGCACGGTGCGCGGGCAGGGCGCTGGCGGTGCAGGCAGCGCGAAGGCAGGTCGCGGGCGGGGCAAGCAGCGCGCGGGCAGCAAATGCAGCGGTGCAGGCAGCGCGCGGGCGGCGCAGGCAGCGAGCGAGCAGCGGGAGCGCAGTGCGCAGGCAGCGCGCGTGCAGGCTGCGCGAGCAGGGCGCTTGCAGCAGCTGGCGGGTCGCACGCTAGGCAGCAGGCGGGTCGCGCGGGCAGGGCAGGGCAGAGCTCGCGGGGTAGCGCGGGCAGGGCAGCGTGAGGGCAGGGTAGTTACGATCGGGCAGGGCAGGGCAGGAAAAACGGGCAGTACGTACGGTTGGTGGGCCCTAACGGAGCGGTCCTACGGAGGGACCTGCTCTGAATACCATGTCAGAACTAATGGGCAAGAATCATTGACTAGAATGGGAAATAAGTACAAGTAGGTCTAACCCTAAAGTGTTGTACTCAGTAGAGGCTACCCCACTACAGCCTACAGACATACAAACATAGTTTGACACAATGACATACAAACATTGTTGTCGTCGAGATAGGCATAGAGGAAGAGCATGGAAGGGCATGTCACAGGGAAGGTGGTGGTTAGGATGGAGTGAGAAGGGCCACAACGAATTCTGCGAGTAGTGTGGCATTTGAAGAAGCGGGAGAGGTGTGGAGGAAGTGGACGGAAGGGCATGTGTCAGGGAACGTGGTGGTTAGGATGGAGTGAGAGGAAGGAGGCGGAAGGTGGTGGTTAGGATGGTAGTTAGGATGGTGGTTAGGGTGGAGTGAAGGGCTATGATGATTACATTTAGACAAATCAGCTGCGTTGAATGTATCCCTCTGTTCTAGCATAAGAATGTATTCCATTGCAGAATTACATGTAGACTTGATCCTCAAGATAAGATGTAGCATGGCATATACCGTATGCTAAAGACAGGCGTTTCTAAAGAGCATTTGTTTTTCTCATGCTACATCACTACCCTTCAGGGAAACGGAGAGGCAAACTGTGCACAGTTTGCCTACCGCACCAACTTGGTCTCTGGAGAGCGTGACTTCCGCAAAAGTTCCGAACCTCCAAGTGCTAGTGTTCCGAACCATTTTTTTTTGCATTGACTACCGTTGCGTAATTTAGGTCTTGGGCTTTAAAAAGCTTAGGCTTGAACGAGTTCCTAGTTCCCGAAATCCAGAGCATAGCCTCCTAACACAATGGCCATGTCATGTGGCTAACTGTACCATAGTTGGATGTAGCAAAACTAGGGTACCATAATGTATTCTGAGCCATCTCATACAGGAGCACAAATATAAAACTGAAAAGGCATGGAGACAAATATTTCTGCACCATCTTTACTCCCCTCACAAACCCACTCCCCGCTAACCCATTCCCTTTCCAAGAACCCACCGCGCTCCCAGTCCACTCCCCTCCCACCCGCTACCACCTAACGTTCAGCCAGTCTGCTCAAAGGCACCTACCCGCCTTGGGGCGCCTGGAAACCAACGCTCAAAACCAACGCCACAACCAACGCCTCAAAACCAACACCTCAAAACCCACGCCACAAAACTAACGCCTCAAAACCAACGCCTCAAAACCAACGCTTCCACACACGCCTACTACTTAACCTCGGCCATGAGCTTCTTGAAGTTGGTCTTGGACGAGTACAGCGTCTGGGGCTTCCAGTCGGCGGGAATGACATTCTCGAGGGTGATCTTCTCGAGGGTGTGCTTCGCAGTGAGGCGAACGCTCATCGCCTTCTTCGCGCCCAAAACCGCCTTCGCCTCCTTGCCCTTGATTCCCCAAATCGCCTTGCTGCCATCGCGGGTCAGCTTCGCCCACTTCTTGCCGTCCGCGCTCAGATCCACCTCCCTGAGCGTGCCGGGGCCAGCAAGCCCCACCATCTGAATGTTGAAATTCTCCGCCGTCGAGTTGCTGCGCACGCGCACCGCAGAACCGACGGTCGAATGGCAGTTGGTGCGCTTGTACGTGATGCTAACAGGGGTGGCGTCGGATCCCTGCACGATCTTGGACCACGAGACGGCGGAGAGCGAAATCTGATTCTCCGTGGTCGTCGCGCCGATGACACGGACCGTCACGGTCGCCTTGCCGCTGCGGCAGCGCTTCGTGTCGTTGGCGCAAATCACCTTGTAGCACGCGCCGCAGCGCTTTCCGAAGGTAGCGGGAGGAAGCTTCACGGTGAGCCCCTTGCCGAAGTAGGGGTTGGCGCTGTAGTTGCCGTAATAGGCGCACGTGGAGTTCTTTCCTAGCCCCGCGCTTTTGCTCTGCCTCGCCGTCGCCGTTATGGGGCTGCTGTTAGCATCTCCAGGCGTGGTCGCGTTTGCAGACCCAATCGCGCCAGCAGCAACCGCCTTAGCAGAAGCAGTCGTGTTAGCAGGCGCAGTCGCGTTGGCGGGAGCCCCAGCGGCAGAGACGCGCGCAGGGACGGAAAGGAGCATCGCAGAGGCGATGACGACGACGAGGAAAGTGGCCCTAGCGGATGTGTACCCGAAGTAAGTCATTTTCGTTTCTGTGTGTATCAAACGAGGCTAAAACGGTCGAAATGGTGCTATTAAGCAGCTTAGAAGATATGTGGGTAGAGATTTTGGTGATGATATTAGTAGAGGCAATGTTAGTTTTTTATCTTCACTTCTGCTGCTTCGAGGAATAGGACCGTGAGTCGCGGGCTTATGACTTGGTTTTCGAAATTCTGGTCCGAGTCGCACGAGGTTGCAAGTTATGTGAAGGCAGCATCGTTGCGAGTAATTACGGATTGGGTGCGCGAGGTGGCGAGTAAGCGACGACCAGCAGGGTCTTCGCGAATGTCGGGCCCTGCTGACGCGTTCGCGAATTGGAGATACCTAATCGTACAGAAATTCGCGAACGATAATTGTGACAGAAACAAACCCCAGATTTTGATTTTCCTGCGCATGCGATGGCGCGATAGGCGCGAAGCAGATGTATGGTGTGATTATTGACCGAACTCGTTACGACGACCGTTGATTGCCACGGATTTTGTGGTCGATATCAATTCATAAATCCAATTATTAATATAATCAAGATCCTCACACAGGTTATGTTTACCCATTTCTAGAGTGTTAGACACTTTATATTTGTTAGGATAACCAAAGGATTTGAGCAGAATAAGTCTGATAAAAGCGAATATGGCAACCTTGATCATAGTGAATGTAAATGACAAAATGATAATAATAAAAATTACATTGCATGATACAGTTATGTCAAATATATAATATATGGTATAGGCTGTAGTGAGGTGCCTTCTAGGGGGTACAACTTTTAGGTTTGCATATTTGTACCCTATCCTGTTTCTAGTTCACTCATTCCGTTGTGCATGCTTCTTAAGATGGTATCAGTTAGGTTCGTTCCTAGCCTAGCCTAGCCCGTATTCGCGCCGTCCGCGCCCTAGCGCCCTCCGCGCCCTCCGCGCCCTAGATCCCTCCGCGCCCTAGCGCCCTCCGCGCCTGTCAGAATGTGTAGTTTGTCTAGCCTGCAGTGGGGTACTCTATAGTGAGTACGGCCCCTTAGGGTTTCATATATGTATCCACCTGCTTGCTAGTGCAACCCCTCCTTCGCCTATTTTCTCTTGCCTAGCTAGCTAAACCCTAGATATGGCTCCTCGTTCTGCCTACTATCTTAACAGCGCCCTCCACGCCCTAGATCCCTCCGCGCCCTAACGCCCTCGGCGCCCTCAGCGCCCTAGCGCCCTCCGCGCCCTCCGCGCCCTCCGTGCCCTCCGCGCCCCAGCCCGCGCCCTAGCGCGTCGCCCCAGCCCGCGCCTCAGCCCGTCACCCCAGCCCGCGCCCCAGCCCGTCGCCCCAGCCCGCGCCCTAGCCCGTCGCCCCAGCCCGCGCCCTAGCCCGTCGCCCCAGCCCGCGCCCTAGCCCGTCGCCCCAGCCTGCGCCTCAGCCCGTCACCCCAGCCCGCGCCCCAGCCCGTCGCCCCAGCCCGCGCCCCAGCCCGTCGCCCCAGCCCGCGCCCTAGCCCGTCGCCCCAGCCCGCGCCCTAGCCCGTCGCCCCAGCCCGCGCCCTAGCCCGTCGCCCCAGCCCGTCGCCCCAGCCCGTCGCCCCAGCCCGCGACCTAAACCGTCGCCCTCGCCCGCGACCTAACCCGCGCCCTCGCCCTAGCGACAGCCCGCGCCCTAGGCCGCGCCCTGCCCTAAGCCGCGCCCTCACCCTAGGCCGCGCCCTCGCCCTCAGCTGCGCCCTAGCCCTAGGCCGCGCCCTGCCCTGATCCGCGCTCTGCCCTACGCCGCGCCCTAGCCCTAGGCCGCGCCCTACCCTAGCTCGCACAGTCCGCGCCTAGCCCTTTCACGCGCCCTACCCGCGCCCTCGCCCTTAGCCCGCGCCCCTTAGCTCGCACCCCGAGTGCGCCCCCACTCTGCCCAACCGTTGGCCCCTCCTCGTCTATGTCCAGCTGGCGTCTCTAGCTGTCTCTAGTCTCCCTTCTCGCTTCTAGCTCCGCCTGCTCCGTGCTCCAGCCGCCTCTAGCCTAGCCTCCAGTATGGACTCCCGCCGCCTTCGTTTCGATGCGGAGGGACGCCCGATAGAGTTCGGCACCTGGCTCCGCCAGACTCAGCGCTACCTCACCAGTCAGCGCCAGGACGGCGCCACCCTGTACGCCCACGTGTCCGGCGCCCTCCAAGCACCCCAGTGTCCCGAGCCCCTCCCTACCGTGCCCCCCCCCGACTCCGGAGGCGCAGGCGGACTACGCTCGTCTCGTCTTGGCGCGGGACCTTTGGGACTCCCGTGACGCTGCGGCTGCACTCGCGCTGACCGAGCTCCTTCCATCAACTGAGGCCGCTCACTTCGACCTGGTAGAGACTGCGAAGGAGGTGTATGATGCTATTTCTGCACTCTATTCCACCCCTTCCTCTGCCTCCATCAGCCGCATCCTCATGCCGTTCGTGTTTCCCGACCTCGGCTCGTTTGCGACTGTCTCCGACCTAGCCACACACTTGCGCTCCCTTGTCGCTAGCTACCGAGCAGCTTGCACTGAGGCTCAACTTCTTCTTGCTCCCCCCCCTGTCTGGCTCACCGTCCACTGGGTAGTCACTCGTCTCCCTGTCCGCCTTTCCTCTGCCCGTGACGCACTTCTCCAGCAGCACCCCAGTGAGCTTACGATTGATCTTCTCGAGACCACTCTTGGGAAGATCGAGAGTAACCTCCTCTCTGTTGCCTCAGCCACTGACGCAGTTGCCCCTCGTCTGTTTGAGGGGTGTGCTGTCCCCCAGCTTCCTACCTTCACTACTACTCGTGCCTCTCCTGCTGTGTCGGTCTCTGAGGACACTGCAGCTGTTTCTGCCGCTGACAGGCAGAAACGGGGCAAGGGAGGCAAGAAAGGGGGGAAGGGGGGTGGCGGCGGTGGAGGAGGTGGCGGTGGTGGAGGCGGCCCTGGGGGCGGCAGTGGTGGCGGTGGCGGTGGTGCCTCAGGCGGAGGGAGCTCTGGAGGAGGTGCTGACCCGCCTGCTAGAGGAGGTTCGACCAGCGGTGGTGCGGGGCCCCAGTAGCAGCAGCCACAACAGCAGCAGCCACAGCAGAGACAGCAGCAGCAGCAGGGACAGCAGCAGTGGCAGGCACCACAGCAGTTTCAGTCGTAGAGACCACCACTGCAGTGGGGTCCGCAGCAGCTGTGGGGCCCTCTGCCACAGTGGGGACCTGGAGGACCCGGGAGCACTGGCCGCAGCAGCAGCACTATCAGCTGGGCCCCTTGCCCCCCGCGGCGCGACACCGGCCCCTGCGACCACTGGTGCATCACCGGACCAGGCAGTCCCTGTGTCTGCGGCCGCGACGACCACTCTACGACGCGGTGCTTCCGCCGCCTCGACGACCTCTACCGTGCACGCTGGGGTCCTGAGGCGACCACCCCGCACTGGGCTCGCCTGCTAGCCCGTAAGATTCCTGTATTTGAACTGTCTATGGACGATGCTCGTCAGTATGCTTTGTATGCTGATGTTGACTATAGTGCTGATGGATCTGTGTGCTCGCGTGTTCGTAGTCTAGGATGCTTACCTCCTGTTAGTGTAGACCTGTGCCTCTCTAGTCTAGGTGCTTGTGTTTCTGCTCTAGGTGCTTGTGTAGCCTCCGGACCTGACACGCCACCAGCTGAGGCGTCTCTGTCGTTCACACTGGACTCTGGCGCGTCGCAGTGTTTCTTCCGTGACCACACGACCCTCACACCACTCCTTGCTCCGGATCCGGTAGCTCTGGCTGATCCTTCTTCAGGACCAGCCGTTGCGCGCAGCTCCACCACCCTCCCGTGCCCTGTGGTCCCCTCTGGTGTCCTGCGCGGCCTCCACATCCCCTCGTTCACACGGAACTTGGTGGGTGTTGGATACCTCCAGGACAGGGGGATCACCGTTACCTTTGTGGGGGTTGGGAGGACTGCTGTCTGTACAGACGCCGCTACGGGTGCTGTTCTGGCCTCGTTCACCAGGGAGTCCCGCTCTGGTCTCTACGTTCTCCACACCGAGCGCTCCCCAGTTGCTTCCCCCGTTCAGGTCGCGGCGTCCCCTCAGATCCCAGTGTCTAGTCCGGTTGCTGTGTCTGGTCAGGTAGAGGTGTCTGGTCAGGTTGCTGCGTCTTGCTCCTGTCGGTCCCTAGCCCACCCACCGTCCTATGGCACCACCGCCTTGGCCACCTGTCACTCCCCCGCCTCCGCAGCATGGCCAGTCACAGTCTTGTCTCAGGTCTCCCGCGCGTCTTTCCGTCGCTCCCTCCCTCGCTTGCCCCACCCTGCACTCCTTGCGTCGCCGGCCGCCTGCGCGCCAATCCGCACTCCTCCTCCCTTCGTCCAGCCACTGCTCCCTTCCAGACTCTCCACCTGGACGTCTGGTGCCCTGCCCCTAAGCTGGGACCTGAGAGGGAGCGCTACTTTGTAGTGGTCGTTGACGACTACTCCAGGTACACCTCGTGTCCGTTGTCTCCACTCCGACCGTGGGGGTGAGTTTCACCCCGGCATCCTTGCCTGGTTCTGCGGCGAGCAGGGCACCAGACAGTCTTGGACGCTGCCGGAGTCCCCACAGCAGAATGGGGTTGCTGAGCGCCGCATTGGCTTGGTCATGGACATCGCCCGCACGTCCATGCTCCATGCCCGTGCGCCCCATTTTCTGTGGCCCTATGCGCTGCGCTACGCCGCGCACCAGCTGAACCTCCAGCCGCGTGTCTCGCGGCCAGAGGTTTCACCGACCAGTCTTTGGACTGGGTCCCCTGGTGTTGGGTCGGCCTTTCACGTCTGGGGCTGCCTTGCGCTTGTCCGCGACACCTCTGCGGACAAGCTCTCGGCTCGCGCCATCCCCTGTGTCTTCCTTGGTTTCCCGGTGGGCTCTCCCGACTACTCCTTTTACCCCCCGCCCCTCCACCAGTTTCTAGACTCTCGTGACGTCCGGTTTGACGAGTCAGTGTCCTACTACACTCGGTACCCCTGTCGAGGTCTCCCGGTTCCCCTCCCCCTGCTCCGGCTCCTCCGGTACCCCCACCCCCCTCTGGTCCTGCCCCGTCAGGT